GTTGTTACAAAGATATCTTGTTTTTTTACTATTTTACTTACTCGAAGGTGTAGTTTCGTGTCTTGGTCTGGACGTCAAGCCTCATTATCACTGCTTCCTCGTTCAGCATCATTCTCCAGCTGAACTGATGACCTTCCATTGTCCAGTTCACGTTGCCTGGATACAGCCAATGACGAAACGGGGTAAGCAGTTGAATGACAAAGTACGTCATGAGGAAACCTTTTAAGGGTTTAGACATGCGCGGGGATGGTTTTTGTTCTTTTTTGTGCTCTAGCGAGGAGGAATCTYTAGCCTTTCTAGTAGTCGATAATGTAAAAATGCCTTTTACTTTTTTGCAGGCACTTTTTAGAAAGTCAGACAGAGTGTCTGGATTCAAAAAGAGCGCATTGGAAGCCATCATTACCCAAGGAAAAGTTCCAATACGAAACAAAAAGTGATTCGAAAAGTGAAAGAAAAAAGTWATGAAGAAACCTARGGGACGAAGAGTAGAGGACAAGAGGAAAAACCCGACAAAAAGATCAAAAAAGAGGCCYCCAACACTGAAGAAACAACCAAGATAACTAAGCACTTCTGATTCAGGTAAAACCAAATTTGCTGCTTTTCKAAATGTGGCAAACCTCTCACCAGAACTCCATATTGTCATAGGCTCAAACCTAATCGACCAATCATAGTTCAGCTTTGCGAGTCCTGAATAAAAGTAAACTATGAACAACTGAAAACGGAAGATAARAATATTCCAGTAGGGAACACGAGGATCTARTTSGGATTCCTGTGTCATATTCGTGGAAGATCTCCGAGAGAGAATGGAATCCACAGAAAGCCTTTTATGGGCATCGGTTATGAGAAAGAATAAGGTTATCAGTATGTACAGATAGTAGTGATTGTTATAGCGAGTTTTTTCCAGTAAATTCAAATATGTATATGTCACGAGGAATGTGGCACAGGAAGCCCGGTAGTAAAGTCCGATTCCCATACAAAAGGCTGMAATAGCTGAAATAAGAAAGACCGTTTGTAAGTGCGCGGCTGGAAGAGTTGGAATTCCTCTGGCAAAAAAATAATGAAAGTTTATCTCTGCGAAAAAGAAGTTGGCWTCGATGACACCTTGCCAAAATAAGGCACGGAATTGATGATAGGACATCAAAAACCCGAACGCAGCTCGAAAGAAATTCAGATTTAGAGAATTCACTGGTTGACATAGGAACGATTCGAAGGAAGACTTTTCACCCTTGGAAGGARAGGGTWGTGTTTGATTTGWAGTCTCTTGACTGGTACTTTCACTGTCAATGTACCTGCAAAGCAACGAAAACTCTGAATTATGATAAGAGTTTTTACAGCGATGCAAMWAGAKTTTCAGCTAAACACTCAATCGATTTGAATTTAAAAGGCAACTAAAACTCCAGATTGACCAATTCTGGGAAAAAGTTAATGGCGAAACTGAAAAAACAACACAACACTTTTTGTTACCCGAAGAGCTTTTTTGATATCGAAATTTAACATTTGAAATACCCGCATTTGAGATACTCTGCTGTCCGACATCTTGTGAGCCTGCAAAATGTCAGTGGCTTTCCGTGTGCCGTGTGAAGCTCTACTGAGCAGTAATAATTCTTTATATATTGTTTTGCACATGTGATTGAAGTTCTCTATAACATTCTGCATAGTGTTTTCTTAAAATGATGCACTGCTATCTACCCGAATTTACTAAGAAGTTCATCTCCAGTCTTCTCTTTTGGATGCACGGATGTACGATTAGGCCACTGCCGTGCATGGCACCGCACTGTCACGAGACCTTGCCTGACGGTATCAAAATAATAAATTGAATCAAATGTTTTAAATACCTCTTTTTCTCTGATACTCGTTTTCTAATTTTATTTTCCATGTTGAATGGGTTGTCTGCTGAAATATGACGAAAAAGGAATGACTTTTCCAGTTACATCCTTAAAATTGTCGAAGTCAAGGAAAAACTTAACATTTTTTTTTTATAATTGATGTGGTGCTCCGACATTTCCGACTTGGCCGGTGGAAAGATGAACCTTTCTGGCAATATATATCTCATTTATTCTTGTTCATCTGTCCAACATGCCGGCAATATCTTTGTTGTTGTTTTATTTTTGTTTGTTTTCTCATGGATTTATTTCTAAAGATCGGTTCTACGTCACGTGGTTGTAAACTTAATTACCATGCTGACTCTCTGAGGAAGAGGTGTCCATCGGACTTGCAAGACCTGCAAGACGTGCTGASCCTCACACATCAATATCACGATAGCTTTTCACTAAACTGAATTCAACGAAATAACTCCAAAATAGTATTTTYCAAAAACCTTCCATCTATACCTTTTGCCCGCGAATAAATACACACTACACCAGCTTCTCTTYAATTTCCCAGTCGAWTTTTGGAAAAAAATTAATCCATAATCAAAAAAACCCTGATTTATTCCATATGTTTATATTTTGCTAACAATCTAATTCCCATTCCTACATTTTWTTGCCATTGCTTTCTCATGACATTGTAGCTTGCAAATTCTTTCAGCAACAGCGCCTAGAAATCTCATKCCAACGTGTTCCCGCATTTYGGCAAAACTCGAGCGTCTTTATATCAAAAAGGAATCTATTCAGAAGATTGCTCTTTTTGAAGTTTGATCCATTAAAAATCTATTTTAAACTCCTTTACAACTGAATWAAATCATTGAWATCCAAATGAAATTTTCTGATATTCAATTTTTAAAAAAGCGAATTTGGCTGTTCACATAAACCATAACAACTACAGCTTATTAGAAATGTTGAAAATGTACTCATTAAATATATGTTTTACATTAAGTTTAAAGCTACAAATTTGTTCAATTAGTACAAAGTTCACTGGGTTTTTCCGAACACAATGTTACGTGTCTTCAAAACAAACTCAAAATATAGATGACAACATAAGTGTATTTTATATTCCTTCGAGATGGGTAAATTTTACCTTATTGACGTGATTCTCGGTGTCTTCAGAATCAGTGGTATAATGAAAGATCATGAAACTGCAATTATAACTACCTTGGCGAACTTAACTTGGTTGCTATTGTTCTGGTGTGCGATAATGTCACATGTMATATAAAAGAATCAATTGAGCTGACAGTTTCAAAAAAAAATATGAATATTAGATTTGGTTTATGTTTATTTAGCTTATCTTCTGAACAAACATACTTCATAACAAAATGATGCGTCTATTCACTCAAAAGAGCTACAACATAGAAAAAGAATTATTTGCTCTTGGTGTTAAAACGTAATTCTAGTTTCTTCAGTTCTGAGCTTCGTGTAATTGGATTTTTTTGCGTAAAATAACTTTTACAGGTGGGTCACCGCGAATCTGTGGGTCACCCAACCTGCACCAGCTCAAAGTACTTATATAACCTAATGATTTATTAACTGTGCTTAGCTAACATTGAATTTGCATAATCTCGTCCAAGTTTACCGAGGCCATGATACTTGATTCTCTTTGAATCGTAGTCGAAACAACTGATGAGCTTGTAAAAACCTATATTTCACGCCTATTAGTCGCCTCATTCTATGCAATAAAGGCAGGCTATCCTTCAACATGGCGAGTATTTGAAAGTAACATCGACCTAAACACCCGTTTACACTTTAGTGCGACAATCGCCTGAGTTTCGAACATGCTTAAAATTTAGCTGCAACTTCGATCACCACGATAATCGCAGAGCTGTGTACACGTATGATTTGAGATGCGCGGTAGCAAAGTGGCGATCGTCGTGCGAAAGTTGCGCTTCAAAAACGGGCCTTAAAGSTGCTGCAAGATGTTTTTTCATCTTTTTTGCTCAGCCGAACAAGTTTTTTGTGAGCTTTTGAAGCGTATGATGTGCTGTGCCGTCATGTTAGCGTCACAATTTCTATCTAATATATGGTGCTCTACTGATTCAGTAGATTGTATATTGAGTTAGTATTGGTGGTGTCGGCTTTCCTATGACTTTTAACTGTGTCTCCTTGAGCTCTGGTATTCTGGTAAAATAATTTCTTTGTGATATGCTTTTATCTTTGAAACGTTCTGACGATCTATGAAGTGCAAC